AAGGGACTTTCATTGATTCTATCTTTTTGTTTTGTGTGATATAGAGCTCAAATAAACGCCATACGGATTACCTTCGCAACTCGGTATGTATGTACACTCTGTTATTAGTATGCCATTTTTATTCTGACTTGACGCTACGTCACTGTCGAGCTATAGCAGTTCGTGGGAGGTACGCGATGTCGGTCTAACCTTTCTTTGCCGAGTGTCATGTCAGTATCGAGTTGCAATCGTAAAAGATCGGTCCAGAAGCGCTTACCGAAACGCGGTCTAACAGAACGAATCCAGCACTTCGATCAAACGCGCGTGTCCGCTCCGGGTGTGAGCAGGTATTTGCGTGGCTCTTGCTGACACCCTCGTAGTTCAAACATATCCTTTTTAACGTCGGCTCGCGACTCGCAGCAACTAATACCGGCCGTGCCAGAAGCATGCTCGGGTCGTGTCGTGCAAAGAGCCGCAACGAGAACGAGCTCACTGTGGCCAACTACGCTTTGGCTTTCTCCGCCAAGGCTTTGCAAATGCGTTCAGGCCTAGGCGAATTCTGCCGGCACGCCGTATTGCCGCAGAACGGCGCTGCTATTTTGGCACAAGTGATGTCACGAGAACTTCCCCCCATCCACCAGATGAGAATTTGAAATCGTTTAATTATGTTTAAAATTAGTTCTCCTGTGTTTTACAGCGCAATATTTATATTTCCGAGGTGGTGCCTGTCCCTAGCCCATATTTATGCAACAAGATCGGCGCTAAAATTTCGTTTCACTACCCCTTTAAGCCAGTCCCTAAACGAACCGAGGAAGAGCGTATAGACGCCACACGTTTAACGTGCAACCCAATTGCCCACAATTTGCTACGCATTCTCTTTCCTCGTTGCTGTAGCTGTCGTTTTATATATATATATTTCCCCGACCGGCTGCGTTTGGTGCCTCTAAGCCAGACTTATAATTTACTACTTTGACCTTTTAACCGATGTTTTTCATTGGTCGGGTTTTGTTACCAAAGAAGTCACTGCTGATAATGCAATTAATGCAAAGGTGCAGGCCAGTTGGACAAGACGAAAATAATCCCTGGAGAAGGGGAACAAGAGGGACAAGGGACAAACACAAATCTCCAAACATAGCTAGGTGACTGGTGCGCGACTGAAAAACACCGCCTGGTATTTTATTATTATTATTATTATTATTATTATTATTATTATTATTATTATTATTATCTAGCGGGAGCACGTACAGCGCATGCAAGCTGTTTAGGTTTAGAAGCATCGAATAAAAATAGTGCAGGCGAGAAGTTGTTGCATTTCTTCCATTTTGTTTCATTTTGGCGCGTCTGCTTCCGCGACATTCCAGCTGCTTCCGATTCCTAACTGGAGGTACTTTACCAGAAGAGCCATTGCCACTAGAGCGGCCGATATGTGAAGTGGGCATCACGTGCGCGAAGCGTCCAATTTGGAAACAATAAATATATATAGCTCGGTAAAGCGAAACACCGTGCGAAGATAACCTTTATAGTTCGCTAAAGACATACCAAATAGCAACACCTTTCGCGGTGCGCGCAGTTTCGCGTTTAGGCCGGCACTTTCAACTTTCAAGCGTGTGATCATCGCGGTACATGTACGGCGACGACCGTCCAAAGGTTAAATCAGCTCTGGTGAGCGGCAATAACCGGAAAACAAGCGTGCGGCAGGTCGGCGTGTCTTGCCGGGAAGCACTCGCGCTGGGGTGTCGTGGTTGCGGCTTTTGGAAGATGGAATAGGCTATAGGTAGTCGGACTCGTTTACTCGACGCACTGGATAAAACGAGTTCCGTAATATCCCGAGAGATAGCCCACCTAAAATCGAGAGCAAATCGGGTGAACATAAGGCGTGGGCTAACTTTCGGTGTACAATAAACAAAAAAGCTGGAAGAAAAAAATTAAAAAAACACTATTTTTACATCATGTTTTTCAGCCAAACTTATTATTGCGGCGAATGAAGCAAAGATGGCATGTACTTCCCAGTCAGTAATATAGTTAACTGGCCGCAATTACGTAGCGGATCATCATTGACCTGAACACTACAATTACTGGGAGGGGGCTATCTTTCGGTGTTAAAAAGGAAATAGCAAATCGAGCCAAAAATAGGGGCGGGTTACCTTTCGGGGTTGGGGTATCTCTCGGGATAGTACGTAGTGGTTTTGGGGCGTGTACATATTACTTGATTGATTTATTGATTGATTGATTTATTGATTGATTGAATAAACAGAATGTAGAAAAAAGATAAAGAGATGCTTGGGTACAGAAATAAAACCGTTTTCTTTCTTCCTTTTTTTATTTTTGAATACTTAGCGGGAAAAGGGGAGAATGGACCCTGGGATGGGGGTGGGGAGAGTTTTGTATGGCCAAGTTCAGCAAAATACAATATCTTAGGCTCGAGCATGGTTCAGCACACCTCGTCAGCGGCGAAACCGAGCTCATAATTCGCAGTAAAAGAATAAATAATTATATCGGTGATGGTTGGTAGCGCGTCCCGACATTCACTTCCTTCGCGAAACTTTTGATTTAAAAATAAAAGGAAAAATTTGACCTTCTCTTTTTGTGTTGTTCTTTGCCCCCTGAAGTCGCGTAACCTACCTCCAATGACGTCGCACCAACTCTCCCTTCCACGTCGAAACCTGTCGACGCGTGACGGCATGCAAGTGCACGCAGCAACGTCGCAATCGCTCGCATTTCGTGCCGCCGTCAGCTCGCACGCGCGTGCCTTCTGCGGTTTGGTGCACCGCCGCGGCGCCCACTGTGGCGTGACCACGACGAGACCAACCCGCAATTGTTTGTTTCCTCGTGTGTGGCCCATGGAGCGTGGCAGTCGAGTTTCCGTTTGAGCACCCCCTCGTCGCGATTGTTTGGGGGGGCGTCTGTATGCTCCGTTTTCAGCCCTCGGCGGACCATTCAAACCCCTTCCTTTTCGTCACCTGACCCCCTCTCTCGCTGTTGATGGGCATGGGTGGGATCGTGATCACCTGGCGAAAGACGGACGCATGACTGATTCAGAGGAGCACGTAGCTTTCATCGTACTGTCAGCTTAGGAAGCCTTACGGCTGCGCCCGGTGACGGGCCACCCTATCCTTCGTGGCGTCGTAGAGGCGATCGATCGAGCGGTGTATGTGGAGTGAATGTTTTCCATACAAAAATGAAAAGGGCAAAAGTTCCGTTTCCTTCCTCAACAAATCACCACCAACTGGCTAAAATTAAAAAAATAAAAATGTGAACGACGTTACGATTGGGTGTTCGCATGTGCATAGCGCGACAGTGTCATCGCAAATGGATGATCTTTTTTTTTTTTTTTTTCTCTTTCTTTCTTTTAAAACAAAGGAAAGGCGATGATATAAATACGCGAGATTGAAGTGGGGAACAGGGGCGGCACGAACGTGCTAATCGAGTTAACCTGCCGTTCGCACACAGATATACGTCCCATCTTTCATCGTGTACGCTTTTTTTTTTCTTTTTTTGCTAATTAAGGACGCTTACTCCTCGGGCTTGGCTGCATGCCAGATGACAGGTCTCGGAATCATTGTGACCGATTGCGTGCTAAACGAAACTCCTGAAACTGCGATAATTGTACGCCACGTCAGACAGAATTGACCTATCCCTTTGGGCATTTTCTGCCATCCATTGAATCGTTTCCGACGTCAGTCAACACCTCTTGGATAACGAGGCCGTCTAGTGCGGGGGGCTCTATGTCACCCATCGAAGGCCGCGGTGCACAGATTCAACGCCAGTGTTGCGTCGACGTTCGGGTGCGCTTCCTCGTATCGCGCCCCTCTTTAATAGAGAGTTTTAGTAGATCGTGTTTTCAGGCCACGCTAATCGTAGCGGGAGCTCGCGCTGCCGCTTAGATGCATGCTCTGAAGCGCGCGCTCGTAGCGGTAGCGGGTCTATGAAAACGATCTACTAAAACTCCCTAATGACAGCCGGCGTATCGTTTTTTGTTTTTCTTTTTTTTTTGTGTGTGTGTGTGTGTGTCTGTCTGTGTGTGTGTGTCTGTGTGTGTGTGGTCACACATCAAGATGGGGGCCAGCAAATCCCGTGGATCGATTTGTCGTGCATCGTCGCGTTTGTTAATTGTTGTCGGCGGCGCACTTGGGCGAACCGCGACGAGCGGCTTTCCCTCGCGTGGTATGCTGCGAAGTTCGAACCAGTGTATCTTACTTTGTTCCTTGGTAGATGGCGCATTTTGTGCTTCGTATACAAGTATATAGTGACATCTTTTGATGCGACGCCAACACGACGGTGCAGCTTTTAGAAATAAAAGAATACGAGCTGGAAGGACGCCGTGCTTTATTCGCAAAATGTGCGTGTGTCATATATGCGTTTTGGTTGTGTCGCTGCTTAGAAAAGATCGGTCCATATAGCATCGAGATACCTCATGGTTCGGAGTCCCTCAAGCGACACCACTAACTATGATTGACCGATTTGCATTTTGTAGCGGATCGAAAAAACAAATATATCCCCCTTCAACTTATGTCGACGAAGTGTGAAGGTCACGGCCTCAGTGAGCCAATGAGCGAGTCGAAGCGAGGCGCGATCGACACATTCCCCGAGCGCACTCCCGTTTAGAGCTGTGATCACGTGCGCCGCTCCGTCACTCTAATTTGTTCACGGAGGCCGTAGCTTTCGTCCTTTGCCAACCTATGCTCAAAGTAATCATAAAGCTCCACCGTAATGGTAAGCGACAACCAAACGTATTTGACGCTCTGACGTCATCCGATGACTCCAAATTCGACCCGATGAGTTCTCCGTAACGTTGCAAGGGTCACGGGATCGAACAGATGGCTCTGTATGTATCGAGCGCTTTCCGGGTCTTCGCGCCAAGTATTCCGCAGAGCTACGCACCCGCTCCTGTACCCCTTTCACGACACTGTACGCAAATAACGCGGTGGAGGCACACCCGTATATCTCGAAGGAGAGAAACAGCTGAGCGTGTCGATTGTCACGCGGTTGCTGGACGGTGTCTTTTGCGTTGCTGTGTGCAGTTCGCCGAGAAGCGGAAGCGACTCCAGCGGCGCTCCCAGCAACAGCTGCCGTCGCCGGTCGCCGAGGGAGCTTCGCTGACGCCGTCGGCGGACGACGTTCAGGGCGACGGAGGAGGGCCCGGCCACCGGGGCGCCTCGACGCCGACCCTGTCGCTCAGTCCCACCAGCGACGCCAACGTGAGTGCCTCCGGGACCCGCAAGCAGTGCGCCCGCGCGCGGTTGCCGCAGCCGGCGTTAGAATTCGACGTAGACAATTGAGCTGCTCCAAGGGTGAATCGACACGACCCTCGTCGTCTTTGTTGGGCGCTTGCCGTCGTCGGCTAAACCCATCGCGGACGACGAAAAGCGCGCGATCGCGACGCGGTGACAAACGCGCAGAGACGACTAGCGTCGTCGTGACGATGCATCTTTGGCGATCTTCGATCGACTCCGGCCGATCCTATGCTGTCGGCTGCGGGCGGACTTACCGCTCATTCGCACTGGAAGCGGATCCGCGTTCGCAAAGCGGTTGCGAACGCGGTTGTATAAAGGTTCAGTGCAATTGCACGCGCACTGATCGAGTGCGCGTGCAATTGTACTGGATCTTTATACAACCGCGCGTTCGCAACCGCTTTGCGAACGCGGATCCGCTTCCAGTGTGAATGAGCGGTAAGGCTGAAACAAAGTACAGACAAAAAATTGTGGAGCCCATCCACTTCACGTGAAGGTAAAGGACCAGCGAAGCTGTTATCTTTACGACATCTATACGATTTACAAATGATTGCAAGGGAGACACGTACACGACTTCGTTGTTTAACTGTCTTTATTTAATTCTTGGTGACTAAAGTGATCTTTGCCTGATGGTCACTTATGGGCAAGCTCTAAACCCACTTTTCGAGGCACACCTCGTGGACAGTTTTCTTTCGATTGAGCCCAAGCCTCTTTATCAGCAATCAGCATCGCGGAAGCGAAAGAAAAGAAAGTTAGACCGGTGCGTTCTGCCCTCAAGCTCGTGACAGCGCACTCTTAGCTGAGATAAGTCGGTGACCGTAGATGACAACGAGGGATCAGGACCTCATTATGTAATAATGCCAAGGAAGGCTTACTCACGCGGGTTGCCCTTTCTTTTTATTTATACTTGCCACGACCAATCGGAACAAAGGAGCGCCGTTTAAACGTTTTTAACATTTATGAACGCATCTGCATCATCGCATGATGTCAAGAACGCAAAGATGTCTCTGTTTGCAGTTCATCCTTCTCCTCGCTCTCAGTGTGAACTGCAAAGAGGAGTCACTGACCATTGGGTGAGAACGGCAGGCAGGAGGTTGTCCCAGGACTTCGATCGCGCGCGCTCAGCCAAAGCACGACGGAAGGCACGGAGCGCGTGCTGGAGGTCGGGCGTTCGAAAGACGCGCCCTGCCTTTCTCATTCTGTCAGTGACAATCGCCGATTTCGAGGAATACCGTTAACACTAAGATTGGTACAGCGAAAGCGATGTACTACCAAGTCCACCTTTCCGTCGTGCTTTCTACGCAAAATTGTCCAAAGGCTTCGTTTCGAGGACTATAGCCCATTTCGATGCTGCCTCGTTTTTCTTCGCATTAAGATCCGTTGACCCGCTCTTCCGACGCCCCGCTTCTCGTATAAACTTGGCCCCCGTAAGGTGTTCAGTGGCGCGTGGCTCTTGCTAGCTCATCCTCCCCGCACCACATGGGCGTGCTGTTGGCCGGTCGGCGGCGTCGCGCGCGGCACTGTCTCCGGAAATAGCTTCCCCCCGAACACCGGAACGACCAAGACGACGAGAAGGGGGAAGGCACTGTCAAAGCCCCTCCGTTCCCCGCTCGGTGCTCGGATGCACTAATAATAACGGACCCTCGAAAGCCGGGCGCTTCTCGAGGAAAAAAAAGACGGCGACGATGTGGTCCCCGGCCCCGACAGTGGGCGCTTTGGGCCCGGACGAGGGGGACGTGCGTCGGATATTCGATTCCGGCCCTGTTGACAGTCGACGCTGGTGCTTTATGTTTTCCCCCGCCGAAGACGAGAAACTTTGACGACCCGTGTGGATCCCAATTTAGGGAACGGAGGAAACGTTTGTATATGGCCAGGTGATACGGCGAAGGCGTCGAGAGCCACATCTGCTCCTGACGGGTAAGCCGTCTTGTAGCGGATGTCCGCGCTGGCGTGCCCGTCTGTTTCCCCCGTGCCTGGGGTGCGTACGTCGTTTCCCGGAGTGAATAACGGTCCTCACGTCAACTTACTACGGGGAAGGCTTTAGCGGCCCACGGTGCGGTGTTGATGGCCATAAAGCCTGTGGCTAATACCTTCCTTGTTGTTGTTGTTGTTGTTGTTGCTGTTTTTAGTGTTATTTTTGTTCTCTGTTTCGAGCGATCACCTTCATTTTCAGTATGCTTTATTTGTCCTGTTGCGAGCTAGGGAGTGGTTTCCGTACGAGCCAGCAGGCGCGCGTGCTGTCTCCGATGGACTGTCGTGTGACCGCTTGCATGCCGCTAGTCCTCAGGCCGCAGTTACAAATGCACTGCAAGACTTGAGGTTCGGTGCAGAGGGTTACTGTTATATGTAGGGTTCTTCGGTTTTGGGTAAAACCCGATATTACGCGATTTTTGCATCCCGAACAGTCTTTTTATGGAAATCGGGTTAAACCTGATTTTTCCCCGAAAACCGGTCTTGAAATCAGCTGGATTTATGGAAAATAAGGAGAATTCTGGATCTCTTTCATAACTGCTTTCTCGGTCACTCGTTTGATGGTAACAAGCTTCTTCGACTTGCGTTACCTCCGCATATATTCGCTTCAGAATGAGTCGGAAGGCGGAAATATATTGTAGTATCGAGCACCATTGCTATATCATATACTTCGTTGACTTTTGTTCGTGTAAATAACACATTTCAGGTACTTGTCATTCATAAATAAGACCCGAGAAAACCCGATTTCCTAATGGCATCAGAAAGACCCGGTTTCTCCCCATTTATCAACCTGAAAAAAAAAAAAAAAAAAAATAGCGCTTTATTTTTACCTTCCGATTTTCGAAAAATATCAAACCCGAAAACGAAGAACCTATCTTATGTAAAGTACCGCATTTTATGAACCAGTCGCTGACATATCGCTTAGGCCTTGGTTGCGTAACCTTGTTTTCCTCGTCGTCAGTGTCTAGACACATTTGCCTATAGCTTCTGTCATGGGCGAGACCGGGAAAACCTCTGCGCGGAACCTAAACAAACGAGGCAGGCATAATTTGGCTATGAGCCCTCATGAAGAGTGACGCCAAAGATTAAAGCAACGAAAGGCAAGGGCAGGTGATGCAAGGCTTGGTCGACGGATCCGGGTTGCATATTATTTTCTTTCCTCTCATCCCCGTTTTTCAAATGTACTCTCCTAAACTCAACTGTCTTTTTTTTTCTTTTTTTTTATTATCATTATTATTATTAGTGGGCGCGTTCATGGCCGCATCGGAACGCAGTTGCGGTTAGACGGCGCAAGGCCGACCTGCCTTTGAGGTTTGGCGACACTGGTTGTCGCTGTAGAATAGGAATCCGGACAGTGCAGTATATACATACCTCTGCTAGCCTGGGGTCTTTCGAGTTGCATCACGCGGTAGTGATGCACTGCATGACTTTAGTGCTCCACGCGGTAGTGATGCACTACCGCACGCCGGCAAAATGTTAATCCCTATCGAAACGGGCAACGGATCACACACTGGCGCCACCTACCGGGTGACCGTGGAACGCTTGACGGTCTCGCATATTTCCCTATTTTTTCGCGCATTATTCTTTTTCTCGTGGATCGAAAAACTTTTGTCAGCGTTATAAACGACTATTTTGTCATAGGTCGTACGTGTACATTTGACCTCCTGTCCCCTCCCTCTTTGTACTGTTCTTGGCGTCGGACTTCATGACCACGCAGTGAGCTTCCGCAAAGTTCGTTTGACCACGCTCGGGTCCCTTCCAAAGTGGAATGCAGGAGCATGACTCTGTGGGCCAACTCAGTCAATCCAGGACTGCCCGGAGTCTATCACGCGTGTCCTGGTATCGCTGTCTTGGCTGTCACGTGACACTTTTGCAGTGGTATAATCGGTGCGCCATTTGCGCCAAAGCGCTTACCCTGCCACATCCTGCTATATTTCGCCAAAATATGAGAAATCTGCAGCGCAACATTGCGTCAAATATTATATTCACTTTGTTAATGTTAAAGATATAATAAATCAGGCCCCCAGGCACGGCCGGATCGTTACGGTAGGCTTGTGCGAATTTACAAAACTTTCGATTCTCGTTTCAAATAACATTGTATTCGACTTGATCTCTGCTTCGAATATTGGCAGTGCTTGGAAGTTTCGCAATATTTCTCATGTTCGTTGTCTTTTTTAACTGGATAGCTAGCATCGATGAGTGCGCCCTCACCCCGCAGTGGTGTACTGCAGTGAAGTGACAACCGCGTAGTAGACATCGGAAGTTTTCGTATCTTGCTTCGCCGCTGCGCACCTGCGCGCTAAGGGGAAAACAGTCCTCCTGGGTGAGACGTCACAAGTTTTTTAATAACTGCGATATTCTGACGATATCTTTCTCATATTTGAGATTCATCAAGGATACTTGAGTAATGCGAGGAAACTTTTATAAACTGCTCTTTATGTTTTTCTTGTTTTTTTTTTTGTTTTTTTTTTTTATGTCAAATCTAGTTATTACTTTTATAGAGGTTCCATCCTTTCGATGGCACGGAATACAATAAATTTAAACTAAATTTGCTGGAGCAGTTTACTCAAGCCTGGAAATAACCTGAATGAGTTCGTTTTAAGAAAACATTTTTATCGTTCACACGCCGACTATTGTTATCGTAAAGTTCTGCTTGTCAAATGTCATTGATGTTCTTGATCAAATGATAAAACCTTCGTTTTTCTATCTAACTTAAAAACTGCAGTTTTATTACAAACTTTAGAACTTAATGAAAACGCCAATTTGGGTGCTCGAAGTTATTGTATTCTAACGTTATTTCTGTGGAATAAATTATTTGGTTTATGTTAGGTTTCATACCTAAAATAACCACGCACGACAGTTCGTACTGCCATTCGTCAATGAGCATCTTGTTATCGTGCTTTGTGTTTCTACGCGCAATTACACTGCTAGCGAGGGAATCGAACCTGCCATGCTGTTGATGCCATCAAAAGATTGCACAATAGCAGAAAGGAAAAGTAGACGTAAACGCAGAACCCCTAACATGGAATTCGCACTGGTACGAATGAAAATAAAATGTATGCTTTTGCTCCAAAAGTACTTTTTGTTGTTCCAAAGTGGACTTTTGGCTGCTCCAAAAAATGCTTTAATATAACTCGGATCAGTCGGATCTCTCTTCTCGTGAATCGGGTCTGCGATGATCCACTTTGGGGCGCACTTGTTCCGAACTAAGATGTAACCCTAATTGAAGAAGATCGTGACCGTCAAAAACCCGACTCCCTTCCAGATGGTGTCCCGTCTTGTGACCCATGCGTGCTTTAGTCGTATCTTTTCCGTGCGGGCGTCAGAGAATTCGGTCGCCCTTGGTGTCAGTCAATTTGGTCGCCCTTGTCCGTGGCGATTTCGCGACTGTCCTTGACCTCTGGAAGCCCTGAAGTCGTTCGCAAGTATAGTATTGGCTCTTATCAGTAGAAACAGGACGTAATCAATCACGCGTTTAGGTCGCGTACAACCCGCCTTCGTGCGTTTAAACCCTATTGTATATCGTACTTGTTCTTGTTCGTCGGAATCCTCGTTTTTGCGCTGAAATTCGTTCTTGCAGTTTGTACACTCGTCGACTCTAACGAGATGCGCGCAAGAATGGGCGTGAATGATGTAAGCCGTGGTGTAACGGGGTTGCTAGCGGCTCCTTTAAAGTAAGCACGAACGCTCTCGAGTTTCATTGCGGAGAAAACCCGAGAAAGTCTCGAAGGGTTGCGAAATCCTTCTCTCGTCGTTCTTTGTACGCGATACAAGATTGTCCACGTTGACTTCGACATTACAGTATCGGCGTCGCCGCGTGGCACTCGATATCCCTCGAGTGATATATTTGTTTTACCTCGATATTGTGGAATGGATCATCTCTCGTCGACGGATTTCTTGCCCTTGCGCTGCTGGCGTCTTTGCGTGTGCATGGCATTATTATCCGCTGGCGTCTTTGCGCGTGCATAGCATTGTTATCCGAGGTGTCCTAACAATCCACTAAATCTCTCAATAGGTAGTTTGAGTATAATTGTTCGTGTAAATCCGATATTAACGGCGCCCGGTTTCGATACGATGCAAGAGCAGAGGGCTGGCGGAGTATCAGGCACCGGTGACACCGCCTGAAATAAAAAAATCGCGTGTGTGAGGTCACCATCGCGGAAAATAACGATTACGTCCCATCTTTTTTTTTTTTTTTTTTAGTTGGAAGCATGTCATCTGGTTTAGACAAAGGGACGAGGAACGCAACCTAGTGCTCACAAATAGGCGCACGCACGTACTTGCACGCGCCCGCACGTGCGTGTGTGCGTCTTTGCGAGCACCCGAATTTTGTCCCTCGTTTGCGTAACGCTTCTGCCCGCCTTTCCGGTTATTTACGTGCTTTGAACATGCGCGTGCGTTCCGCCGACGCGTCACTTTCGTACGATGCCAAGTTCCCGGCGTCTCTCGCCTGTACAAGCGGTGGACCCGCCCGGTATTAAAAACATCGTAAAAAGCCGGAAGAAAAAAAAAAGCGTTATCTTGTGATGTACGCGAAAAAAAAACAAAAAAAAAAAAACGACTGTTTTCGTTTGCGTTTTTGTGCAAAACCACCTGTTGAAGTTTGCATCCTTCAGTGCAAGAACGGAAACTGCTGGAGAAGCACAAAAAGATTAATATGAAAAAAAGTATATATACATATACATACATATATATAATATATGTTTTTATTTTATTTTTATGCTCAAGTTACTCTGAAAAAAAAAACGCAAAATGCAGTCGCGGCGTGGAGTTAGGCCGCGTGACTTGGTGACGACTGAACTACCGTTTTCTCTATTCATCTTCTGGGTGGCGCCCCAAGCGCCCTCCTGTACCTGGATGTAGCCCCATTGCGTCCATCGCCACGGTGCGGCACTTTACGTGCCGTTGAGCCGTGGTACTGTCCCGTGGCCACCTGCCAGGGTGCCGTTGCTAAACACTGTCAAAACTGCAGCCTAGCAACTGGTGAAGTGGAGGAGCTCAGTGGGGCAATCTACCGCCTGATACTAAGGGTTTAGCAACTAGTATCCACCCATTCGGCGACTTCATCCCCGCTTAGCTCATTTCTAAAAGACATGACAGGAAGCAATGAACTGGACTGCCATAAAAACGAAAGAATTATATGTGCGTGGCATATTGTGGTGAATGGGAACCTTGGAATTAATTATGCATACAGCAAACTGTTAGAAGCGTTGTCAAATTCATGACTTTCGCTAACTCGATCCGCTAAATCACCCAATTCAAAACAACTGGGAAGGTGGGTTCCTTTGAGCTTTTCGCTCAGTTTAGTGCCGGCGCCAATCAAATTGATTGGCATTCGAGTTGGCGGAAAAACCTGGCGAAAGCTGCAACGCCGAAGAAGTTTGACACGCATTTCTCGACGTTCCTTGAAATGAGGACTTCGTTAGTTGCTTGTTTTGTTTTTATTATTTATTGCCCGCATCTTCTACTGGTGGACTCTGAATCACGATCAGAGCGATCTGTTGGCTGAGTGGATAGTAAGCACTGACTATCAACACGGAGTTGATAGTCAGCACTGAGTGAGTTATTCATTTTTACTGGTGTGCGTGTTTGAGTGTGAATGGTTCTTGTGCGCTGTAGTTGGCTGCATATCTCGATTATGCCCACTCATTTTTAACAACCTCAACCAAGGGCAGTGTGCGCCCTTGGTTGAGTTCACCCTCAGAGCGTTTTTCCAGCTCTTATTCAACAATTTTACGCTTTTTATGCTATGCTACGCAATATTTTGTTGACTGTGATCTGGTACCTATCAAATGTTAGTACATCAAATTAAAAGTGCACTGGCCCATGGGTGCTGCAAGCCATCAACCTTTCCAAAGGTTCTTTTTTTTTTTTTTTGTAGATGTTTTTGTTAAGCTCTGTTTATCTTATACTTAGTAAACCAAATTTCTGCATTGCAGAACAATTCTACTTAAAAGGGAACATAGTTTGCAGTGCATCTTTTGTACATGACAAAATTTACCAACTTAGTCTTGCGGTTCAGTATCAGAATCCCGCTGGCTGAATGGTAATGTTTGAATAATGTTCTAAACTTTTACATCGATACTTTTTTTTTTTTTAGTACTGAGTTGTTGAACTCGAATATATCGAATTCAAAGGGATCGTAAAATAGTTATATATCAATAAGTTGATATAAAAAAAAAGTATGTTAAGTTAAGCTTGAGTTGAAATTTCCTGGCGTCTTTGCTAATACCGAAGGTCGCGACAAACGGGAGCTTACCAAATAGAGCATCCAAGTACAGTAGAGCGTAGTTGGCGGAAAACGCAAACACCGCTGCGCATACACGCGCTCCTGGCCGGGACCTCCACACAGCATAAACGAGAAAACACGAACATAATAATAAAAAATTAAAGAAAAACGGGAAAGTGAGACGCGTAAAACAAAAAAAGAAGCTCACTAAATTCAAGCAAAAAAAAAAAAAAAAGGGCAAAAAAAACAAACAAACAGGCAAAGCAATAACGGCAAACGGGAAAGGTAAACGGCGTTCGAAGTGCGGTTGCACAACTGTTGTCAGTACTCGACTTGCCAAAGAACTTTTTCTTTTTTTCTTTTTTTTTTTTTTTTTTGGGGGGGGGGGGGGGGGGGGGGGTTAGGGGGTCGCGCAGCATCAGCAGTGTTCGGGGAAAGGGCGCAAGCTACTGCCTGCTTCCCTACGCAGGCGCACGTGCACTTCACCTTGCTTTTGCCAGCACCCACCTTTTTTTTTTTTTTTTTAACTGTTTAATGTTGCTGTTTTTGTTCTTTTACCGCGTGTATGCTGGCTTGGCGGTCTGCCAGCCCCGCAACGCAAGCGATGTGCTCGCCACCGGCGCAATCGGATCGCGGGAAAAGCAACGGATGCGCCATGGGAGTTCGATAAAAAAAGACAACGCTTTATAGTATTACACGTGATTTTCAAGGGGGTGTTTGGGCTGTTTGATATAAACATTAATTTGAAATACCAGAGTGTGATATAACCGGACTCGACTGTAGTTAAAGTACCATATACTTGTGTTATATTTTTTAGAAAATATCTTGTTAGTTGAAGTACAAGCTTGTGTCTGATATTTTCTCCTGTCTTTTTTGTGTGGGTGTTTCTAGGTGTCTCAGCCTGCATCGAGCGAGAGCGTGAGCTTCAACACTAGTCAGTCCAGTGCTGCATCTTCTGCCTCACCCAATTACTGCCAAAAGGTAGGGCTTTTCGATTCATTCTTTATGTTGTGGGCCTAATTATCAGTGACCTAGCAACAATACGTAAGACAGGCTCATAAAAACCTTATGAGGCACCTGTTTAAGCAACACAATGGTTAACCACTCGAGGCAAACTTGGTGCACCCAAAGTTTATGTGACACAATGTGTCATGGTCATTACTATTGTGCAAGAAACGTTTTAGTATGACTACATAGTTGCCCATTCCTTTGGATATTGCGCAGCCATTAAAACTTGCCAAATTCGGCTATTTAACCTGGTTGCAAGCTTCGGAGTTTTATTAGCATACTTCATACAATGTGGGTAATAATTTCAATGTTTTAATATTAATGGTAATGTATGGAACTAAGGCCATCTGATATGTATTTGATGCTTTATCAAAGTTTTAGTCAGATTATGAAATGACTCATAAGATATTTCCAAGATAGAAATATTTTTGCAAACATTTATTGTTTCTTTTCTTACCAGGAAGCTTTTCTCTTTTCTTTATTTGTACTAGGTGTAATAGTGCAAATTCAGTGCAGGTAATTGGCAGTTCAATGATTATGGAAAGAGACCTTTCATAGAAGGAAAAGGGGCTTGATCTTTTTATAAGTTGTCGTTTGCACCTTTGTTCCTGTCTTCCAGCCTGCTTCGAATGAGAGCATCAGCAATGGGATGGATGCTGGCCTGAACAACAGCTATGGCAGCTCGGAGGTTTCTTTCTCGTCAGACCTGCCCAAAAAGGTGATGCATGTTTGGTGATGGACACATAATTGGTAGGCAAAAACTGCTCGAGGCTTTTCACATTGTCATTCCAAGGGATCAGTGCGTAAGTGAAACGTCAATAGCGCTTTCCGAAAAAGAAATTAAATTTTTGCGCATTCGAGAAAGAGGTGGCCGCATAACGATGTGACGGCTATGGGGGTGATAGGGCAAGAGTTTCGACAGATGTCTGACTGATAGTGCCTGTTTGGTTTCGTCCTTCCTTTTTTGTCCTTTTTGTTTCAAGTAGTAAAAACTTCAGTTGTGACAGCGTTCATCCTGTTTGCGTGTTTCTTCTACTCAGTCTGTGTTTTTTGTGCTATTTCTACATTATTATCAGGAGTCATAGTTGTTCAGCGAACACCCACTAATAAGATATAATTTTCTGCCTTTCCACTTAGGCTGGTTACGAATGACTGTTCGATATTTTTGAGAAAGTGTTCATACATAATTGATGCCTAAAAAATTAGTCCACTAAACATGATTTTTTTTTTTTTTTGTAATTGTCCCTTATACTCAACCCAGTGACCTATAAATTTACTCTCGTAACAACAAGACGAGGGTTTTGTGCCTTTGCTCTCATATCTTACTCCGTTCTTTTTCCGTCTAGGACCGAATGCCATCGGCCAAATCAAGCGATACCTCCGTCAATGAAGCACTTAGCAAGCACAAAAGGAAGGTAAAAGGCTCACACGTCCCGTTACTCCCGTGCTCTGAACAAGCTGCTACTATTTGTTTGGCCTCAAAGTAGGAGGGAAACCAACGCTATGGACGGTCGCTCTAGCTCTGACCAATTCTCACAGCCTTCACTCCACCATAACCCTAATAATGCAGCAAAGTGCAGACAATGTCTCGACGTACGAGTTGAAGCTTCCAGCATCAAACCGAGATAAATATTGGGTCGTAACATCTGGTGACTCCTCGTTAGGAAGTACGATTTCAGTAAGCAAGAATAGCGTGTCGACGGCAGATGGCCTGACGACTGCCTCTATAATCAGTCGGTTCAATTTGCGGCTGGCAGGACCACCGTTGTCCGCAACTTCGCACCATTGTAACCTCGCAAGCCCGAAATCGAGAGTACAAAAATAAATGTGTGGTCAACACACCAGTCAGAGGTATGTTCTTTGTGCCACAAAAAAGCTTAAATTACGCTTATAAAAAAAAAAATACAAAGAGAAAACTTCAGTTACGTGAGGGGACAATAGTCTGAATTTGGGTGCTCCCGAAACCCGTGGGCACCCTCTGAGGAGCCCCGTTCCAGTGGTAACTCGTTTAGCTTCCACCTGCAAGAAAAATAAAGTGGCGCAAAAGAGACGTGGGAACAAGTAGAAGAGATGCACGGATACAGCGCAGTGTCTATTAGTCCCTTCTACTTGTCGTTTTTCTGCCGTTTTATTTTCCTCGGAGCATGCACGACGGTGTTTGGAGCCCGTCTGCAACTGGCGTGTGAACCGTCCTATCCCGCCCACGCGTCAAAGGTATACTCGTAACGGCAGCAAATGACGTCGCAGGAGCCAACACAGCTCGCTGTTAGACGTCGTGATCCTGGCAGTTGGACGTTGGAGTTCTGGCAAAAGAGCGAGCGAAAGAAGGTGTCGCAGCTTTATAACTCGCCGCTAAATAAGCTTCCGCCATCCGTCCAACCGAGAGCGAACCACGGCAGAATAGGCATCTGCCGTGTATGCCTCTGCCGATTTGCCGTGGTCAGGATGGCGGCAGGCACCAGTCGGAGACGCGCTGCAGGCAACATACGTACACCGACTCGCCCAACTGCAGACGTTGCATCCATCACACAGATCGGCGAGATGCAGCGGGAGCTGGCCCGGCGGGAGGACCTGATCCGCCTGCTGTCGGGGCGCCTGGAGGAGGCACTGCGCAGCCGGGAGCAGGTGCAGAGGGAGGCGTCGGTGCAGGAGCAACAGCTGGCCACTGAGATCTCGTCCCTCAAGCTGGAGCTCACCACGTGTATGCAGCTACTCGCGGGGCAGCAGACGGCCACGGGGGGCACGGCCACGGACGAGCAGGTGGCGTCATTGCAGCAGGTGGGCTGTAGTGCGTCTAGATTGCACGTCTATGTCATTTGTTGCCTTAAGGGCCAGGAGATCCACACAGCACCGTCTACCTTGTGTCGGTGTCACCGCCTGCGTGTCTTGCAGCATCTCACAACATGCACGACGGTTGCACGCGGGTCAGGGATCCACTGACGGCGTCATGATGCGCAGGTCTTGTCTCTTAGGAGGTATTGCACGAGTGCATGTCTAAGTGAGCGTACAAATTAACTTTGAGCGGTAAAGTGGCACCGAAGCAGTATACTTCGTGTCACGCCCAAGTTGAAACGCAGTCAAAGTCTAGATGACGTACAAGTACAGAAGCACAGGCTGAATGAGTGTTCAGTGTGCTCGATTGGTTTAGCTGCTGATAGCTCACATACAGAAAGATGGACAACATTGCACTTTTGATGCTTCTCAATTGGCCCCGATAGCTCGTAGCGTTGGCTGCGCTCTGACTTGAAGTAAAACGAAGTTCTGTGACCAGAGCTATCTGCTTGCCTCGCGAGATGCCAGAGTGTGTGCACTCTTGCAAGAAACATAAATTTGGAGATAAGATTGTAAAGATGACTTGATTCTACACCCACGCATGCATGTGAATGCTCTCCTGGCTAGGCCCTTTCCATGCTTTGGGCGCTGATCTGTTAAAAAGGCTTCAGTCGCCAATTGAATACATGTCAATAGCAGCGATGCATTTCGTAATGACTGCCGGGGGACAAAAGCGGAATCTGTGCTGTAGTTCTTTTGCATTCATACTGTTGGATCAGTTCAGCTTAAGGCTTATTCACACAATGCATCTTTTCAACGCGCCACAGTTTAGCGAAACCAAGATTTCGCGAAATTGGCCTGTTCAGACGTGGAGTTTGACGCGCGAAACCTGTGACGTATTGACTCACGAGAATTTCGCCAAACCTTGTCATCTGCACCGGGAATACCAAGCATTTTGTATCAAAATGATATGAAGTATGCACAGTGTGAAGAGACAGTCTGTTTTATTAATACCACTCAATGAACTTCGTCAGATACGGCTCACTGGGTTTACTAGTCCTGCCAAACCCGGGAAAGAACGCGAATGTCAAAGAACAGGCGGATGATCTCGAAGCATTTCGGACATTTTTGCACCGCTAATAAAGAAAGTTATTCCCAGCCATCATGTTTATACGCAGCGCTTGCACTCGTCGCGACTGTTGATGAATCTGCACCGCGCCCCAAACCCGCCGTTCACACAAGTGCAACCGAGTAGGACCAATGCTCATTGCCCATACGCACCGCCTCTGTGCTTGTCGCTCGCCATGTTTGTTTGTTTTCTTTCCGCTTTGGCTCGGATACGGAATCGGCCAAAAATCAGACTTCTCCAAAAGCTCGCTCTTCCTCGAAGATGAGACGTCATGGCGAAGTTGAGCGGCCATTGGCAGTGTTCGCGTTTCTCCTTCGGGTGATTGACGGGCCTCGGTGAGGTTTCAGCGAAAAATTGCTCCAGAAGCAAGGAACATGTGCCACTTTTTTGGTCGTGTTCAGACGGGGAATCTGTTTCCCGAAACCTAGTTTCGCGACACAAGATTCGCCAACAAGATGCATCGTGTGAATAGACCTTTAGAAAGCTGCAGATGTTATCGTATACCCTTACTTCTCTTAATCTTAATGTTCCCAGTGAAGTTTTGAAGCAATGCACGTTGAGAAACAAACAATATCATCTGCCACCTTTTACTCTATTTTAATATGAGGAAAAAAAAAATGAAAGCCGTTTACAACTCCCTATAACGCCAAATTAGAGCGCAGCTCTTGAGGAGGAGGAGGGGAAGGGTACTGAGGGGAAGGTATATCCTTCCTCCCTCCTCCTCACCTCCTCATCCTGTCTGCTACTCCTCCCTCTGAGCGGCGTCGCCATCGCCTCACGAGGGCCACGTGACCTCAAGGGGGCCACGTGACCCCTATGAGGTCACGTGACGCTGACGTCATCAGTGACGTCACTGATGACGTCATTATCACTAGTGACGTCATCTGTGACGATGCAGATGCCGATGACGTCATCAGTGACGATGACAATGCTGATGCCGATGACGTCATCAGTGACGATGACGATGAGGATGCCGATGACGTCATCAGTGACAATGACGATGCCGATGATGTCAACTAATGACGTCACCAGTGACGTCACGCGTCCCATAATGCACCGCGCGGTTACGCCAACGGCGACGCCGCTCAAGCCGGAAACGGGTGTCTAAGAGCTGCACTCTAAAATTGTCAGTTACCAATGCAAAGAAAATATGAAAGACGTTTACAATTCTCTGTAATGCCGAACTAGGGTGCAGCTCTGGAGGAGGAGGGAGGGAGGGTATGCCTCTCCTCCTCCACTCCTTCTCCCCCTCCTCCTTCCTCTCCCTCTCCTGCATCCTTCTCCCCTCCTCCTCCCCCTCTATCGTGACGTCACTCATTAAGGCCTTGTGTAGGTCTTGACCTTCACGGGTGACCTTCGTAATGTCATGTGTGACGTCATTATGGGAAATGTCCCATAATGCAACGTGCGGTTACACTGACGGCGATGCCGCTCGAGCTAGAGTCACTAAATAAAGCTACGCTTTCAGAGTACCGAAATACCCAAACTACGCGTCTGAAGCCCGTCAGGTGCCGCCATCTTGGGTCCGCGCGCAGACGGAGGAGTGACTGTAGCTGAGCCAAGCCGAGCTGTAGCCGTTGCCTGCGCCAGCTGCCGCGGCCGCTGTTGTGGCAGCGAATTAGTCGTGTTGTTCGTATCTCGACGTAACATGAAAAACGCACGTGCCGAGCGACGGATTTCAGCGTGTGCACGCAGTAAGCAGCAAACAGCAGCAGGCAGAGGATCGCTGGACCCAAATGGTGGCTTTGAAAAAATGCGATGATGATAGCGACTCACGTGACTGCCGTTGTCCAATGATGCCGCAGCGAACCAGAATATTGTTAAATAGAGCGACTGCGTTTCAACCTAAGAAAAGGAATGCGGTACTCTGAAAGCGTAGCTTATTTAGTGACCCTAGCTCGAGCCAGAAACGGGGGCCTAAGAGCTGAGCTCTTAAAGATTTTATGACCCTAAAAACCAGTCTAATGTAATGTGCCGCCGTGTGTTCCTTGTGAGCTTGCATTATTACATTTGGCGCTTCTGATTCTGTTGTGCCAGTGAACTCTGAAAGGCCAGCATAGAGCATTTGTATTAACATTTATTATCAAGATATTCTTTTCCAGGGGTGCAGCAGCATCTTCTTACACAGCCTTCAGCCTCGGGGCTCTTTGTGTGATGGCACCATTTTGGAGTTTCACAATTGCTATGCGGGAAACCCAACACTCTTATTTGCATTTGCCTCGTCATTTAAGCTTGACCCCAGCGGAACATACCTTTAGCATTCTTGTTTGAATTGGCCGCCACACAGGCACTTCAGTGTCGAGACGAGCAGGTGGCACAGCTTCAGCAACAGTTGGAAGCTCAGGAACAGCAGATCACGGTCCTGCAGGACATCCGGGCAGACCTCCTGGGCCGCCTGACCACAGTGCCTGTCTCCACAGAGCAGAGCAACGTAAGGGAGGAAGGGCTGAACCCGACGTTTGCGACAAGTGTCCCTGCATGCTTGCCTCGAAAGTTCAATGGACATGCGTAATTATTAGTCAAACTTCTAATAATGATGTATTTTTTGCCTGCACACACTCTTGTTTTCTGCATAAAGTGGAATGAGCGAGCTCCTCGGTTCTCTTTGTGTCAGATCAAGGAAGGTCTGCCACACAGACAGGACTCACAAAAAACACGGAGAGCTTGAAACGCACAAATATTATGGCACACCGTGCATTCACGAGGGCGCCCATCAAACCACTTTGGCATCATTGTCTAAAGGCAGCTATGCAGTTGCGTCGCCTCAGACACGATCACATGGTCGTGTCACCGCGTGGTCGATTGGAACCCCGAATCTGGCTCCCACTTACCGCTTTCTCTCTTAGCCACTGTATGGCACTGCAGGTGCCACAGGGAGGCCGAGGAGAAACCTCCTCACCCATCAATATAAGCAAGGAAACCGGGGGGTCGAAAAGTCTCTTAGAACTCTAGGGGGCTCGAGAACAGGCAAGTGCGAGCAGCTGCTCTCAGGTAATTGCAAGGCACGAGGCCTGAAGGCCCTCTTTGTGCTTAGCTTTGGCTTTCTGTGCGAGTGTGAATCTTTGTGTAATGTCACGTGTATTTGTAGTTTAGATTGAGTGTTTTGAGCATTTTGTTTTATGAACCAATATTAGGGAGCGGAACCCCGCTCCCGTGAAAGAACCAGGCTGGACTTGGGTTGTTTACGGACCATATGTAGGAATTCGCGTACCGCCGCCGGTATGCCAGTTCCCACATGGTTCGTTAATAACTCGTGTTCAGCCTGGTTCTTTCATGAAAGCGGAGTTCCGCTCCCTTTTATTGGTTTATGAAACAAAACGCTCAAAACACTCAATCTAAACTACAAACACACGCAACATTACACGAAGATTCACACTTGCACGGAAAGCCAAAGCTAAGCACAAAGAGGGCCCCCAGGCCTCGTGCCTTGCAATTACGGGGAACAGTTGCTCGCACTTGCCTATTCTTTTGCCCTTTGGAGTCCCAAGAGGCCTTTCGCCCCCCGGTTCCCCATCTTATATCGATAAGCGAAGAGGTTTCTCCTTGCCTGCCCTGGGGCGCCTGCAGCGCCATCCAGTGGCTAGGAGAGAAAGCAGCATGTCGGGAGCTGGATTCGGGATCCGAATTACCTCCGCAGCGACACGACCATGTGATCGTGTTTGAGGCGAGGCAACTGCATAGCCGCTTCACGACAATGATGCCAAAGTGGTTTGATGGGTGCCCTCGTGAATGCACGGTGCGTCATAATATATATAGCAGTGGTATACGAATGCCCAAATTTAATCGTAGAGGTCATGCCTCCAAAGTGTATTGGGAGATTTAAAGAGCTTTATGAATTGGGGGATCGCTCTATGGTTTGTAGTTAAAGTACCTTGATCTTTTCTAGTCATTCAAAGCCGTTGGTCAGTCTTTCATATTAGCAGCTGGGCTGACACAAACAACTTTCCGCTTCCAGCTCTCTCATGGCAGCGAGCATCTCGAAGGAAATAGCCACAGTCGCACCGACCTGTCCAGAGACGCGCCCCAGCTTCCGTCGGACGTCAGCTGCAGAGGCGATGCACCGTCGGGGCTCGGTCCGCTCTATCTCGACCTCGGCGGTGGAACCGTGAACCACTCAAGTCCCGAACCGGCGTTCCGCCATCCAGACACGCTCCAAGAACTGCCGTCGCCATTCCTCTCCCCGATCCGAAAGTCGGAGAAGGTGGAAGACTGGCAACACGCCGACGAAAACCTGCTCCTTGGCTGCAAGGAGATCATCTGCAGGCAGCTCTCTGACTGGATCACTGCCCGATCCCTGTCTGTCGACAACTATCGGGACATCGTCGCAGTCTTCAATGACATCAAGCAGTTTGCGGTGCGGGGGCTCCACTACTGCGCCGCATGCGAGAGCGCTGGCGTTGCCGCCCTCGACCCGTCCAGCTTGCTCAATGAGGTGGCCGCGCTCCAGTTCAAGGTCGCCCAGCTGGAAGAAGAGGTGCGCAAGTCAGCAGATGAGGTCGAGAGTGTGAGGATCGAGAACGCATCCCTGCGAAAAGGGTCGCTGGAAGCGGAGGAGGCACTCAAGGTGCTCCGACGCGAGCACAGTCTGGTGGACAGCCTCAGCTGCATCAAGGAGAGCGAGTACAAACGTGCCAAGGAAGAGGTGGAGGGGGAGAGCCTACTGGAGGTGTACGAGCTGCAGACGGAGTGCATTCGGCTGGAGCAGGAGAAGAAGGCGCTGCAACAGCGGACGCGCCTCTTGTCCGGCAGCGATCGGTCACCCACCATTTCGCCCGTTCCTCCCCTGCTGCCCACTGACAGGGTCCGTCACAACTCTGCGGTTCAGACGGATGCAGTTCAAGAGCTGCCGCTTGCACCGTCTCCGCTCGTAGACGCAGCAGAGGCTGCCATCGGCAAAGTGGTAGATGAGAAGTCAGTTAGCAAAGCGGTAGACGAGAAGTTGTCAATGCAGTCAGATGCAAAGCTGATGGCAGCCGAACTCGAGCATGCTCTCAACGAGCTGCGGAGGCTGGGAGAAGAGAAGGGAGCGTACGACGCGCTTGTCGTCGAGAACGTCCGCATCTCGGCGGAGAAGGAGAGGGCAGAGAACGACCTGGCAATTGTGGAGGAGCGGCTGAAGGGTGCAGAGGATCTCATCGAGAAGCTGAGGCATGAGCTAGACGTGGAGCACAGTGGCCTCGAAGTGCTTGTGGCACGAACGGAGGAGCTTCTTGGTGGTGGCGACGCAATGAGCGACGAGCGGCGAACCTTGCTCGAGAACCAGAGCCTCAAATGCCAGGTGGCACTCTTGAGTGGCAAGCTTGAAAGGGAGCAGGACTTCTCATCGGCGCTCAAGAGCCACGTGCAGTGCCTCGTGTCGAGGGACAAGGTCTTGCAGAAGACCGTCAAGGACCTCACCAACCGTCTGCTGAGCAGCGGAGAGAAGCTCAGGAAGTCGCTGGAGAAGTGCAGGGAGACTAACCTGGCTCTCATGAAGTCGTCGGCTCAAGCAGAGTGCCTAGAGGCAGAACTCAAAAGGTTGAAGGAGGGTCTGCTAGGTTCCTCTTTCGCTTCAAAAGAGGATCACGGGGAAGGGCCTTTCGAAAGCAAAGGGGTGCCAGGCCCTTTCGACGAGAAAACACCGGTGTGTGAACATGGCGACTCTTTCGCATCTTACCCGAACAGTTATAACTTGGAAGGTTCTGTGCAAGAAGCGTGCAGCGTGGAACTGGTTGATCGGCTTCGAGTTGAGCTCGACGTCAAAGAGGTAAGCTTGGCCCCTTGTTTTTTTGCAAGCCCTTTAATCTCTATAAACTTTCGAAGTAGTGGGAAAGCTGTGAGTTTAATAGCATAGCGAATGTCCCGCAATCCAAGGTAAAAGCTTTAATAAAATTAAACCGGCCTACACCCTCTGTAAAGAAAACATACAAATTACAGTGCAAGTCCAAGCTTCTAATCAGTCGTGCTAGCCAAAACTGTCTGTGAGCCTTAAAGGGACACTGACATGTCAAAATAATTTTTTTTTTTTTTTTTTTTTATTATTATCCGAAATGATTGAAAATGATGCCTGGAGTCCTGGACATTACCCTCAAATTTTGAACCTTGCGAATTCAGTATTTGTGAAGCAATTTTAATTCGAAGTTCCCGCGCAATTCGCGCCAGTGCGGTGATATCAAATATTGAACTGTCCTGCGAGTCGAGTTTCTTTCACGCCTCCGCTCCTAACCGCCGTTGCCGCCGGCGTACCAGGAACAACTGCTTTCCTCCGTGCGTGCCGTGCCGCCTATTGCTGCGAGCAGACGACGCTTGACTTTCAAGTTTGAAGTTCTTTTGGGGCCTTTTGGGGCCCTTTCAGCGATCTCAAATCCTTTGAAACGGCCGGTGTGAGATCGAAGAGAACGTGCGGTGAACTTTTGTGAGCGACACGAGGGGCCACGTCGTGCTGGTTTTGCGTGACAGGCTGCCCCGGCGGAGTCACAACCAAAATTACGACGCACAGACACCAAACCCAGTTGTTTTGACCGTGTGACGATTTCCTTTTCCAAGTCTGAGAGGTCGTCGGGCACCTATAAAAGGCCACTTCGTCCGATTCCCCGGCTCACCGATCATCCTCTGCTACATGCGTCGAGCGCCGCCATGCTTTCCGAGGGAGGATAAAAAGCCGGGAGGCGACATCGCACCGGACTCTGATTCTCGGTATTTCAAAAAGAAGGGCCGTAGTGCGTTTGCAGTTGCATTGAAAAACATGTTTTATGATTGCCGTTATTAAAAGTTGTAGAAATGTCACTTTCAAGGGTTCTAAATTTCATGATATTTGAGGTCACAAATCAAAAGAAGCGAAGAGGTAAGGAGCGGAGAGAAAATCGCCAAAAATGAAAAGGGTGCGCGCGTAATAAAGGTTTTTTTTGTTTTTTTTTTTGCATTGCGGTATTTTTTTGCGTGTCTATGACTAGAACTTGCATCATTTTAGACAATTTAAAAAATACAATATTTGGGGTGTCAGTGCCCCTTTAAAGGGATACTTCAACAAAATTTGAAATATTCTCGTCGTGTTCAAAAATAGGTTGAATATGATCCACAATATCCGTAAATGACAATCGCACGTTTGTATTTTGAGCCTGGTGGCTGTATTTTTCGTTATAAACGGTCCAATTTGGCAAGCACTCGGAGAAGGCCCAGCGGAGACCACGTGACATCCAACGCAATCGTGACGTAGGTTGTCTCGGGACGAGCAAAGCTACGGCGAGGCTGACGTCGAGAGGATGGCCTAGTCGTTCCAGCCACCGAAGCGGCTGCTTTTGTACGAATTTTGAGTAACGTGTTAATCTTCTATAATCTTGTAGGGGGACAATAGCGACTTCTGCGACACACAAAAGGCATTCTCGGGAAGAGGGGAGTTCTTCCTACCCCTCTTCTCTCGTCATGGCCGGAGGTGAGACGCTCACCGTCACTAGCTGTCAAGGTTCCTAGACAGGCATTACAAGCGAGGCGTTAGCGACATCGACCAGGTGCTCTTTGCTAATCGTTTAATTCGTTTTAAAATTCTTTTTCGAGACTTTTTTTAACAAGATATTGGTATGTTCGATGTGATACTGCTCCTTTGAGCACATATAGACCAAAAAATGAGCGCCGAAATTTCGTTGTAGTATTCCTTTAAGGCAAGTTCAGTCATTTGCACTGACTGGTTGGCATTGCATGGAGTTGCATTCTACCACGACGCATTGTGCGGCCCTCCACGGTGACCTGTAGTAAGCGATCATGATGCAATCAATTGTGTCCAGGATGCAAATGTCCAAACTAGACTCTCGTCCTTAGCAGGATCGTGCTGATACCCGAATCATTTCCCGACCAGATGCAGCTAAGGAGTCAAGAGTTGGAGCTGCGGTCACTGCAGCAGTTGGAGCTGTGTGATTTGCGGGTGCAGTTGCACCGAGAGCACTGCCTGCGCCTGGCAGACGTGCTGTCCTCTGTGAGGGCCTCCTGCCACCAGGAGCTGGTGGCCTTCCAGCGGTCTGCTTCCAGGAACGCCGCTCTGGAAGCACTCAAATTGAAGGAGAGCCATCAAGGCGACATTGCAGCACTCAAACGACAGCACAAGGAGCAGGTGAGGAAAGCGAGTTGTGGTCTCATTGCCACTCAATTCTATTAGGATATGACTGCCTTTTGGAAGGTAATTTTTATGCCCGTGTTCTGTTTTCTTCCACATAAGCTCCGAAAAACTGCTATTTCTTTTCCTCCGATACCGAAAATAGACGTTGGAAAGCATTGAATGTGTGGGGAAACGTAAGCCCCGTATAAAATACTCCTTGATTCGAAGAAAAATAAACCCCAAACACTCTGAACCTTAGCCACGAACAACGCAGCCCTATTCGACTCAAATCACTAATCGCTCGCCCCCTAGCTCGAGATGCACGAAATGATGAAGCACTTGTAAGAGACAAAGCACCATCCTTTTGCTTTTGTCAAGTTCCCTCAAACATCTTTATATTCCCTTTTTCTTCCCCCTGCTCCTGGGATGGAGTGTCTATCCTAAACCAACTCGCCTCTGCTCTCCACTTTAGTTCTAACACCCTTTGTCTCGTTTCCTTATTGGCAGCTGGAGCAGCTGAGGAGCAGACTGCATGCTCCGGAGGTCCCGGCCCTGGGAAAGGAGGAAGAGGTGCTGGAGGAGCTGAGGCTGAGGCAGCAGCGCGACTACGAGCAGCTGCTTCCTCGGCTGGACCCTGAGCTCCAAGTTCAGCTCCAGGGGCTGGTGGCCCTCACCCTCAAGATACACCACGTGGAGACCGAGCAGGCCATGGCCAGGACCCAGGTTCGTGTCGGCAGGAATGGACCGTGGCAGCGCCGACCCTCCTAAGTGGAGAGTGCACACCGAACATCGGCCAAAGCACGCGGAAAGGAATGCGCCGGTCTTAACTTGATCTTTGCGTTGTGTGGTTGCATTCTTCTCTGTCGTCCACACATTGGTGTCCCGTACGTGATACGAACGCTCAGCCTTCTGCTTTTGCTAAGTTGCCCGAGCACCAAGGGGCATGCAAAGAGAGTACGGAAGTTGCGTGCGCTCCATGTGCTCCATGGCAGCAGTAACTCTTCTGAAGCAAAAACCTAAAACAAATGGCACTTTTTACATGCATTTTTCAGCACCTTTGATTATTTCAAATCTCTTATATTGATCAGGCAAGCACATGCAGCATGTGTATGTACATTTTTCCTTGGTGCTTGGATAATTTAGTGCATTAACACTGTAGGTACCCCACTCTCATCAACCGAAGTTCCCCAGCAGCAAAGCAGTGTCGTAGAAATTTCTGGTGAGTTTGTTTCCTCAGAAAAAAGAAAATGAGACATTGAGTGTTTGGGCAGAGAAAACATTGGTCCACTTTTGAGATATGGTGACACCGGTTTACATTATACAGTCAAACCCATTTATAACGAACAGCAGGAAACGCTACGATTAGTTCGATATAGCAAAAACCATTTATAACGAACTTCTACAATGCATTTGTTGTGGAGCGAGAGCTTCTCTTTCTTTCTCATCTCTTCACTTCCGCCTTGTAACAACGCGGTAAAAAGTGTTGCTGGTGTTGTTGTTTTTCTATTGTTTTTTTTTGCATGCCTGCAGGGTTAGTTCTTTTAGCTTATCTTTTCTTCTGAATCGCTTCTCTTCGTTGGCAAACGCTTTGGGATGAAAAGCTTTTTTTTTTTCGTGTGCGTGCATGCAGAGTGTATTTTTTAGCTTTCTCTCCTTCTGAATCGCTTCTTTTTCGCTCAATTTCGTTTGCAACTTGAGCTTTTGGAATTTTCTTTCTTTCCTACTTCTTTTTTGGGGGAAGGGACAGGCTAGAAGACGATTGTTTGCACGTTTTTGGAAGCCTTCTTGGGGGGGGGGGGGGGGGGGGGGGGGAAGTTTGATATACTAACCAATATGTTGTTCATTATAAAAAGCATGTTTTACATGCATTTTTATTCAAATTTTTTTGTGAGTTCGATTTTGACAATAATTTGCTGTACGTGGGTTTGTTCTAAACGGGTTTCTCTGTAGATGAGAAATTCAGGCAGTGCAGTATGGCTGCTAACTTAGGATCTTTAAGGTGCATTACAAAGTAGTGCTTACACAAGCACACATTGGTAGAGTGCCCATCTGGATCAAAATAGGTGGGGACGGAGATTGAACGGGTTTTCACTTCATGTCCTCTGAGCTGCGATGCACTATCGCAGTCGCCTGCTGGTCTCCCTTTGATCATGTAGTTTTGTTCTGAAAGCAGTTCAAAACATTCGAAGCTAGTAAACCACAGCCCCGTGTGTACTTACGAGCCTCTTGCAGTGGGAGCATCCATAGGATGAACAGCGTTAAAATCCAAGTTTTCGTCGCATTAGGCACTTGAGAATGCTGTGGTCTTATCAAAACTGGGAACCGCAACAAGGCACCCCCCTCTATGATCGCTGTCTTGGAACTGCCGACGGATCCTCCCATGTCTACGACTTGGACCAGCAAACTTCATCATTTTCTACGAGCTAACGGGTTTCATTGTAGTGCTGGTCATTGACGAACCTCTCCTCACTCATCTCGTGCAGGAAAGGATGACAAGCGAAAAGAACCGTCTGGTGGACCTGCTTTCGACCTGTAACCAGGTGGACCGGGAAGCGCTGGAAGCTAAATTGGAGCACGACCAAAAGTTGGCCCTCAGGGACCAGTACCAGGCATTCCTGGATACCCAGGAGAGGTCTATGACGGGGACCGTGGAAGCTGTTGAAGAGCCGCCGGCATTTGGGAGCCTCCTGGAGAGTGACCATACAGTGGAGGGGCTGTTGGCTTTGCTAAGGGACCGACTCAACAAGCAGTTCTACACCAGCATCAGCGTGAGTTTTAGCTTTCAAGTTCTAAATGAGATAGCGTTTCTTTCGGATTCACTAAGCGGAACGTGGCCTTTGCAGAAGAAATGGTAAAATGCGGTAGCCTGCAGCACCGCGCTGCAGAAACGCAGCCCTTTTTCTAATACCGATTGTGTAATGCGGCTGACTTTTAGCCACTCCTGTAAGGCACGCTTCTAGCAGAACTGTCACACGAGCGCTTCGTCGGTGTTCGGCCAGTGCCTGTGCCCTCACTGGTTGAGCATGAGTCCAAGCCGAATGGCGACGCTACGCTCGCGTCCAGTCTGTGTTCCGTGCTAATTCCCGGTAGGTGACGTAAAAATCCAGCACTACGGCCTTTTCATCCGGGAGGTGCCAAGCGAGTGTGCTCGCACGTGTGGTAGGAGAGTTTGTAGGAGGCGAAAGGGAAAGAATGTGGGTGTTTGCTTTGGATAAAATGGGAGGATGCAAAATATCAGGGTCAAATCTGAGGCGCGCGATCGCACGAAACTCAAACTTCAAGTTCTACTCCCACTTGAGCGCTAGCGTTGGCAGGGCTTTCTTTCAGAGACGCTATGCACGAAAACACTCGCGCCGTCTGTGTCGCCGACGAGTCGAAAACGGCGGGGCGTTTCTTTCGAGGTGCCCAACCTCCGGCAGACGCTCGTTACCTTTTGCCGTGCATCCGCCTGCTCATGCGGACTCGAGGCTCGCGAGGCGTTACCTAAGATTGGAAGCTCGTGCTGGAGACTGAACAGCCAAAGGGCCTCCCCACCGTTCACATCTTGTCGTGACTACAGTCACAATATGTGTACCAAGTTCCTCTGTGCAATGTCACCACGAAGCAACACGCAATGGATTCTGCGCTACCGCTTCCTTTGTGAGGATAGGGGGAGAAAAAAGGGCAAATTTTGTAGCGTAAGCTACACTGGCCGAGGTGGAGCAGTTTGGCGTGGCTCTTGGAGAGCCGTGCTGCGCATCCGCGAGGAGCAGTGACGGACCGGGCAGGACTGGTATGGCACCTAGGTCAGTCCCCGATGCACGCGCCGCGCGCATGCACCCGCTCGAGATCATGGCTCGCGCTGTCCAGTTGCTCTGGGCGGCAGCTTGGTTGCTTGATACATAACAACACTGCGCACAGCTGGCCAAACTAACGACGGGCATCTTGCACCCCGCAGCGGAGGACTAAGGATTAATTTGGACCACCTGGGGATCTTTTGACGTGCAACCGAAAGCTCGGTTACACGACGCCTCCTCCGCAATAAGAAGGGCGGGGGAGCTTAACTCATAGTCATCGGATCCCGAAGTAGTCACATAATGCGTATACCGTGTGTGTGTCATTGAAGCAGCAGTATGCATGATAATCAAGCTAATCCTAGACAACCAGGAAAGCTAAGAATAACCATCTGAACCTAAGCTTACGCTACGTGTATCCTGGCATAGCCGAGCTAAGACACTGTTTATTTTTGGAGCACATTTGTGGGGACGCTCGGATGTTGACACGCTGCCAGTGATGCTACTCTCGCACAGAACGGGACAGTGGCTCTTATCGTATAATTGCTGCTCTGCTCTGGCTGCCACACTTGTTCCTTTTTATGGAGAAGGTAAACAAGCCTGATTTTACGATAGTCTTCTCGGTAGTTATTGACTTGTTGTTTGAATCTGACCCTCTCTAACCCTTCTACTCTGCCGCAGTGCCTGTTGTAAGGTGCACTTCTCTACTGTAAGGGGTGAACTCTAGAACTGCGTAAGCTAGAAGGATCATGTTTTCGGATGGATGGCGAAGAGTGTAAAGGACATGCTCCAGGAAAAAAATCTTTTTTTTTAATATTTGGAATAGCTTAATGAAAATTTCATGGTCTATAGGGCTTGATCTCATCTTTCTAAATCTTGTGTTAGTTTCGACATAGCTGCTTTTGTCTATATTCTGCATGCAGTACATATATAAAAGAAACTGCATTCTTGTGCACTCGAGGGGGCTTCGCCACAAGTATGAAAGAGCATTGTAAAATAGGTCACTTTGTTCCCTGGGAACCGCTGATTGCAAGTAACAACAAGAATAACGTGTGTGAAATTTCCTTTATTTTAGGGATGGGCGAATATTCGGTTAATACAAATAGCCAATCGAATTCTGTTCTATTCGGCATTCACTTCGAATCGAATTTAAGTATTCGACAATATTGAATTATTCGACCTTTCTAAAATACAGTCAAACCCGACTATATCGAACCCGTTTACATCCAATTATTCCTTATATCAAACAATGTTTGTGCACAGTAATGTTACAGTGATAATATATAGCAAAAACTACAGTTACATCGAACAAAAAGCAGCCGCTACCGATATATCGAACTGCCAAGAGCACCGTTTTGCTCTGCAAGCTGGCTCTCCCCCAACGCGAGCGGCCGCATTGGAGGAAAGCCAGCTTGCAGAGCACGCTGGCTTTTTTTTTTCGGGGCAGCCGCGTCAACCGCTTGGAAGAGAAGAAAAAATATCTTTTGTGGAGGGAGCGGAGAGAGGGTGCTCCGTGCTCCCTCTCCCCGCTCCGTCCGCAAGAGAATATTATTTTTTCTTCTAAGCGATTAATTCAACCCTCCCCCCCCCCCCCCCCCCAAAAAAAAAAAAAGTCAGCTTGCTTTGCTAGCTGGCTTCCCCCAACGCGGCCGCCTGTTGTAGGGGAAAGCCAACTTGCAGAGCAAAACAAGGCTTTGCAGGAGGAGGTGCTCCTGCTCGGACGTGCTCAGTGCTCTCGGCATAGTTCGGCACTAATGCGCAAGAATGCTGAGGCTGCGGCCTCAGCATTTTTGGAGTCTGTCGATGGCGTAGAAAAATATTGTTATCATGGATGCAATGAAGAAAAAGCAGCAGAAGATGCAAGACTACTTCATTATGTAATATTTCAGCAGAAAGTGGATTTTTGAGTCTAATTCATTAAAACTTTTATATTGAATTATCCGCCATATCGAACTGGTAGACGTTTTCTTGAGAGTTCGATATAAATGGGTTTGACTTGCTCTGGCTTGGATTTCCGACCAGGTGGTGCAAGCTTCCGACCATTTCGTGCTCCCGTACTCAATACACTTGAAATTAACAACAATTACAGTACTTCTAATACCAAATAAGGGCAAATATAAAACTATAGTTTAAACATATCTTGTAGTATTTGTTGCTTATACTATTCGAAGTATTCAATTCGAAATTATTCGGCCAAAATCACTATTTGCTTCGAATTCGATTGGGGCCCAAAATCCTCTATTCGCCCATGCCTACTTTATTTAGAAAAAGTTGGAGATCACAAAAATGCATGTTTAAAGGGCAGACAAATATTTTTTGCAACTTGTATGACTATAGTGATATACATTGTAACAGAACCTTGACAGTTGCTTTCTACACACTTCAGGACATAAGCATGCCCAATTTGGTTGGGATGGGACTATGTGAAGTACAAAACCTCTTGTGCACAAACTTAAGAGATGATTCAAAACAACAAAAGCTGAAAAACATCTTTGAATGTTATCATGGATGTGCACTAGTAAAGGAGCAGCCTAGTTGACATGACATTTAACCACAATGCATGCCAGGACTTTGCAAGACGGCACAGTTTAGAATTGTCCCGCGCCATATGTGGCTCCTTCACAGTCCATGTGAGCAGTGTTCTGAACGCAAGCCTGCTTCACCATACGGCGGCAATGGGATCTTGCTTCAGCAGTCCCTTTGGTGGTCATGCTGGCAATGCATTTCTTGTCGCACTTATTGCTGAGCGTGATGGGTTCCTGAGACGGGAGGATGCCAAGCTCCTGTTGCACCTGCTCGAAGCCCATGTGTTGTTGTTGAACCGTAAGGTTGCAATGGCTGTGTCCATCTCCATGACAGTGCGCGAAACAAACCTCGTTTTGGGGCACAGCATCCAGATTTTTCTATTGAGTGACTCAGTAGCATTCTGAGTCTTCCCCTTTACGCGGCGGGACAGCAGCTTTTTCTCCGTCAGCTTCTTGTAGATGGATAGTATGGCCTTGGCCTGAGCAGTTGTGAGGATCGGAGTGTGTGGCGGTGCTGGTTCACCCAGGGCTTGTGCACCAGGAAGATTCCCCGTCTGGACAAAACTTGTGGCTGCTGGCAAGATTAGTGGAGCAGGAGTGAAAGTAAAATGCCCAGATAGCACGATACATTCCCCGGACACTTCCCCTGTTACTGGTGATGGCGATCTGAAAGTGGCTCTGCAGTTTCGGTATAGTTCCATTCTTGAGCTTTTGTCCCCGTGGCAGTGGCGTCTTGAGCTGCTGGAGTCCAGTGCCCAATCACTTTGCCATGTGGTTTATGCAGTCTTCTTTCACAATAAGGGCAGTCCCAGAGAAGTTTGCCTCAGACACAGCAGCATACGCCTTGCTGTCTTGAGGAATGTCGTGAATTGGAGAGGCGTCGCATACAACGAGGTCCTCTGCCAGATCCTCAATGCAACTTCTGTTTTCATGGCATGGGATGAGCCATCATTGTTTAAGGGCGAAGCTCCTTAGGGTCTAGCCTTGTTTGTCTGGCATCCGTGCTCACATCGATTGCACTGCCTCCGGGACCGAGCCCACTTTTAAAAAAAAACGTCTCTACAGGAGAGGGCGCTGCAGTCAAATGCGTATATAATCGCGTTAAACTTTGCATGCATTGGCTCAACGTTTATAGACGAGAGGGCGCTACGGTCACATACTCAACTGCGTATATAACCACAATCCATACCACACACTCTCTTTCTGACATGGACCATTGACTTAAGCGGTGGAGATGCGTTCCCACGGCTTCTAGCAGATCCAAGCTGATTCGCTAGAAGAACCACTGGCTCTGCATTTCACCGACCATAAAACAGTAATAATAAAGTCGAAACGCAACCCGGAACTCAGCACTACCTATGAACAGTAAAAAAAAATCAGCACAATCAGCACTACCTATAAAATCAGTATCATCAGTACCACCAGAGCTTCGCCCCAATCAACATCATTCACCACGTGGAGATGCGGCCT